GGGCTGTGGGGTCTGTTTCCTTAGCCTCCATGGAGGAGGCCGGGGAAGAGGCCCCGTTGCCTCTGCTTCCGTGCGCGCCCAGTTGAAGGCGTGGTAGCCACCCACAGGTGGCTCCAAAACCAATGATACGAAAAGATTGTGGGTGTGGGGCTCCTGCCCTCTTTGAGCCACGGACCCGCCTTGCCGGGCACCTAGGTCCTTACGGGGACCTATGCGGGACCACCCCTCCTACTCCCGTATCCTAATACCTAGAGCGGTTACGATGGGTTGAGGGTTAGTTATCTTGGGCAGGGCGTTCCCCACACCAAGGGCCGTTAGTAAGGCGCCCCCTACATCAAGCCATTGTGCGTAACACTTTTGGCCTGGACGAACATTTCCAGACTTGCAGGCCGGGCTCTCCAACCGGGTTCGCTGCCTTTGATTGGCACGCTGGCAACGGATGCCAGTTTGACGGGTTGAGGAGCAACCTTTCAGCCTTTGGGTCAGGCCGGCCCCATGCTTGCGAGGGGCTTTTTTGATCGGGACCTTATTCACATTAATGTTCGTGAAATGCAGGCCGTGTACTTGGCACTGCTTAGTTTCTTTCCTCGCCAGTATTCCGGGACAACTTCCCGGCGGGTGCGTTTATTGGTGGACAACCAGGTGGTCTTGCATTGTATCCTTTCCATGACTACCCGGGCCACCAGTCTCCTGAGGCCCCTACATCAGTTGAAGGCGTTGTGTACGGCACGTCGGATTCTCCTGGAGCCGGAGTACATCCCCTCCGCCAAGAATGTACTGCCGGACCGGCTTTCCCGTATACGGACCTCGGAGGACTACCGCCTGCATCCGCGCATATTCTGGGAGGTCGCCCGCAGCTTCGGGGCCTGTTCTGTGGACCGATTCACGTCCGCCCTCTGCGCCCAGTTCAACAGTCAGTACTGGGATGTCGGTACGGCAGGAGTGGATGCCTTCCAGCAGGATTGGAGCGCCACCAAGTCTTGGTGCAATCCCCCATGGAGCCTCCTCGCGAGGCTCGTGTCCTTCCTCGCCTCGCGGCTGGAGCTGGAGGCGGTGGTGCTGGCGCCGGACTGGCCGAGCGCGGTGTGGTTTTGCCCGCTCCGAGCCTGGCGGGGAATGAACACCTCCCGGGCGATCACTTGACCTCTTTCTTTCCGGCGATCCGAGTCTCCCGGCCTCTCTCCCGCCCCCACACTGGAATCTCCGGGCGTTCCGTGTGTGCCCGCGCCCGTGGACACCGCGCCATCTAAGGCCAAATCGGAGGAAGACATGACCCCTCCCGATCCCCCGTCCTCTCCTCCTTTGGATCCATTACCGTTGGAGCCGGTGGCGGAGGACGCCCTGCTGTACGGTACCAACCTGACGGTTTGCTCCGCGACGATCGCTGCTGGATGGAGCACCAGTTCCTAGCGTCCTACACGGACGCCACTTGAAGGACGCTCCAGGCCAAGTTCTTGCGCTTCCAGCGCTTTTGTGAGGGGAACGACCTGGCCGCGCTGCCCGCCCGGCGGGCCTCGATCTACCGATACATTCATTTTCTTCGGGAGAAGGGCAAGGTGGGCGTGCGGTCGTTGCCCCAATACCTGGCCGCTATTTTGATGATGCATCATATCGCGGGCCATTTGGGCTTCTCCGCCTTCGACCCGGTCACCCGCATCCTCACCCGCGCTTGGCGACGGGCGGCTCCGGCCCCGGTGCAGCATCGCCGACCGGTCCCCATTTCCCTGCTTCTACGCATTCTGGACGTCGGCCTGACCACCGAGGACGGGCCAACCCTTTGCGCGGCGTGTGTGGCCCACCTCGACTACATTTTCTTCAACCGGGCCCAATCGGGCCATTTCATTCTGATCGACGACATTCGCATCGATGAGGAGGTCGTGGTCTTCCGCGAGCGCAAGACCAAGGTGCGCCCCGGGGAGGAGCCCCGGTCGCGCTTTCGCTCGTGGCCTTCCCGCGGCGCCCCCGAGGTCGTCGGCCTTTTGTGCCGCTGAACGCAATTTCGAGATCAAACCTGGGCGCACACGGACCAACTGCCGCGCCATTTCTACTGCCTTCCCGGCGATGCCACCCCTTTGTCCAAGACGGTGGCCTCCTGGTTTATGTCCCTGCTCACGCACTTTCCGGACCTTGCCCACGAGCCCTTCACTCATCATGGCTTGCGTGGTGGGGGCGCGTCAAGCTGCTTCGCCTTGGAGGTCGCGGAGCGGCGCATCCGGGATTAGGGTGGGTGGAAGTCGGACGCGTTGTGGTCCTACATAGATATTTTTCGTTTACCCACTGAATGGGATTCTCGGCTTTTTGGTTGGATGACCATCACCGCCCGCAACCTGCATGAGCAGTTTGGGCACATCTTCTGCCCCGGAGGGACCTTGAGTTCCCGTAGAGTGATTGGGCAAGTTTGACGGACGGGAACCTCAGGAATGTGACATTGGATGGTTGTTTGTAATTATTGTCATGGGTACATGACGGGGTGGGCTCCGGAGACCGGTAAGGCAGAAATGAAATTAACTATCTTGTTAATGGGTTTCTGCCAAGGGCGACAATGGGTGGGTTGCACCGGCGATTCAAACGGTGCAGTTTGAACCTGGGGTTTACTCAACCCCATCCCTTGTGATTTCTGGCCACCCCCTAGTACCGTGGGTCAGTCAAAGTACGGTATTCCGAGGTGCCGCCCGCGAGGGCGCCCTCGAGTTTGGTGGGCTTTGGCGGGGCAGCGAAGGGTTGCTATTTAGGCAGCCCCTTGGTCCCCCTCCTTATCTTGTTTCGCACCCAACCCTCCCGCCCTGGATAGTGGAGTTGGGGTTAGTTGTGGGATGGAGAGGGAGTTGAGGGAGTGAAGTACAGGAAAGGGAGCTGACTCATGGGGAGTCACTCACTGAAGTCTTGCGACCTTTTCCTAGAAATTCTCTTTGGTGGCTGGGTTGGTCCATGAAGGTTGGACACTTTGCTAAATCACTGGACACTAGCTTTTGACACTCAACGCGCGGAACGGTGAACAATTCCTGTGTTGTCCCAGGGCTCCCCCTATAGCTCCCGCCTTGTGTGAGGAAAAGGGGGATTTTAGCCCTGCATGCATGTGTAATTGACATTTGACTCACTGAAGTGGCATTGAAGTACTAGCGAAGCGAATGAGCAAGTTTGACGGACAGGAACCTCGGGAATGTGACATTGGATGGTTGTTTGTAATTATTGTCATGGGGTACATGACGGGGTGGGCTCAGGAGACCGGTAAGGCAGAAACATTTGTTTCGCTTTGGTGGAGCGAACGGGCAGTGATGATATGCAAAATGACGTTTTCCATTCCCGAAGCCACTATTTGCCTTGTCCATAGTGCCTGTTCTGCTTGGGGCTTTGGAGTTTTCAGCAATGTTTACCCATGTCGCAATCAGGCCATTTTCTTTCATTCAGCCTCGCTGGACATTGTCCGAATTGCAGTGCTTTGGGCCACAATTAGCCTGACACCACAAGTGTGCAAGCCACAGCCCCCAGCAGGCCGTTGGCTCATACTGCGCTTCCCATTTGAAATCCGTCAGCACCAATTGACAGCTCATCTTGGCCTCTATGACTTTGGCGCATTATTTCTCCATTACAGCACTTCAATTTTCAGATAGATTTCAGCCCACGAGTTTGGTGAACACAGGTAAAGAATTAAGTAAATCCACTAAGTACTGCAGGATTGGTAGCACGTTGTAGCAAGGGTCCTCTGCCCAGTAAACCTCGAATATTTCGCTCACAATTACGAGTATTTTCACCCATGCTGAAAGGGGCTGGGGCCGACTTACTTTCCTTAAAATTGGCAGCTAAGCGTTCTTAGAGCCCAAACTTTCCGATTCTGATCTCCTTGGGTAATTTTCAGGCCGCTCTTGTAAATAAGTTTGTCTTTTATATAGACGCCAATCAATGTGGGACTGATGAAACATGTCGCGAGGCACAGGGAGGCAATTTGCCGCCTAGAGAGCGTCGCCCGCGTATCACACTTGGTTGGGAATCCTATGTAAGGATGTGATACTTGAAATCCAAGTGTACAACTTCAAATTACTGTTTGCAACTGGTGGTGTATTGGTGCACTACAAAGTGCACGGCGCGGCTATGCAGCAAAGTGGCAAGTTGCCAATCACATTATGTACTACAACGAACTAGCGCTCTTCCATCATCAATACGACGGTTGAGCCTTTTTGCAGAATGGTGGGAATTGGCACCTGCCATGTATTTGTACCACTTACAACTGTGGGAAACTCTAATCCCAAGGCGGAAGTCGTCAATTGCTGTGTGTCCGAATTGGGGCCATTTGGTAGGTTCTTGCTCGACATTGTCCGAATTAGGGCATGTTTCAGCATTCTGCGCCGGACAAATTCTCTGAATTAGGGTACGTTCAGGCGTTTTCAGCCGGTCATTTAAGTCTAATTCAGACAAACAGTGGCAATTCCGACGCCCTGATCGCAATTGATGGCATGGCATCAGGGGTACAAGTTCAACTTCCATCGTTTTTTTCGACTGCCACTATCTTTCCAAACTGTAGCTGTCCTTCAGCATGGGACAGCATCCACATGTCCTCATGACATCTCAGACCAGACATAAACAACAGTGCAATACAGTGGTGGAATGATGGAATCGTCATCGCTCCGAATTACACAAGCACACACACAAAGAATACAGGGAATGGTTGCCACCATCTGTGTCGCCAATCACAGCACCAAAGCACTAATCGTGCATACCTGGTGCTGGGTGCAAAAACGCACGCCTGACAGCGAAATCTATAACATTGTACTGTGTGGTCTACACTCTGTCTCTCCGAGAGCTGGCACTTTTTGTTGGTTCAGCCACACTCACTATATAACTTTAGTCATACACAATACAACAACAAATAGGCACTGGGGCCAGTGCCACCCAAACACACCAATTCGTGATGGTAGGGGATGTCTTCAAACCCTGTTTGCTCATATGTTTCTTGAAGAGAACGCTTGGCCAGCTCTCGGCTATTTCATGCACTTATTGGGTCATCACACCACACTTTTGCTCGTGTGACTGGCTGGTTGGCTCTTAGCCCTGGACATCTGAAGGGCAGACTTCTCAGGCGGGTATAACATCTTGTCCAGGGGTGCTGGCACAGCCCAATCGCAAGCTAAGGTGACGCCAAGGTCACCTGGACCTTTTGCAAGGCGGAACCATCCCTCCTCGCCCCAGTAACGGCCCCAGCTGCAAACAAAAGCAACTAATGAGCAACCACAGGATGCAATCCACCAGTACAGCACACTACCAGCAACCATTTAGAGTGTTTTTGTGGTGTGTGGGAACAGTTGAACAATCAGAAATAGGCATGCAGGGAACATCAGTCCAACTACTACAATCATGAAGTCCAATGTAGCAGCTTGACACACCAGCGATCGCTTTGTTGCAATTGTCCAGCAAGTTCTGCTTGAGACCCACCTGTTGCGACCTATCCAAAACTCAGTGCCATTGTCATCTCCCCATCCAGCAATTTCAATCTCATGATCGATGTCTTCAATATGGTTGCATCCTGTGGTGTCATTGAATATGCCCCCCGCATAAGCAACAAAGTCGTCGCTTGCACACACACCACAGCCTATGGGTCCACGTGCTGCAATTTCAGCCATCATCGCATCTGCCCCAGCCACCTGTCAACAAATTGACACGACTGAGTTGGCAACAACACCGTCCCAGGCACCCCTTTCTCAATAAAAACTTAGCAGGATGACAAAACCCGTGCTATTGCACAGCAGGGCATGGCTGCAACAACGGACCAGAGGCATCTTGGCTGGAACAGCACCCTATACCTGCAACTGAGTGTGAGCTTGCTATGTCTTACTTGCCAGCAACAACCTAAAAGAGGGCGCACCTGGCCATGCTCAGCGATTTGGAACGATTTGTAAGCACCCTGCTGCACTGGCCAGCATTCACCACTGTCGTCACAATTCATGCAGGTGTCCATGGGGTTGCATTGCAAATTCTTGGCCTGGTAGGGGGCACAAGTTTCACCCGGGATGCCATTTTCCAAGATGTAGGAGTAGGCAGCGGTTGGATCTCCACCATCACACCCCATTGACATATTCGCTGTGACGCAGTTCACAAGCACCTGGTACACAAGCGAACTACCTGATGCAACCATGCAGATGCAGTACAGCCAGCAAGATGGCAGCCACAGAAAGCTTGCTACAATTTAGATTGGCTTCCTTGGGCAATTTTTCTGTAATTTACAAGTCCACTGCAGAGGGTCGCACAATATTTGTCAACATTCAGTGCTGCACAGGAAAATGCAGACTTGCAGGCGATGTGTTGATGTGCCAATGCCAGCAAAATCATAAGAAGAGGGCATGCTCTGCCCAGAAGATATGCCTGTTTGTCGGCAAAAGCAACTCCCTGTGCAAGTTTGAGTTTGGGTATGTTGACTTGTGTCACGCAAACTGCGTGCATTTGAAGCATGTGCACAGCTGAAATTGACCTTCTCACAACATGGCCTTGAAACTCGCTCACAGTAACAGAAAGAATCAGTTGGCAAGCAACACTCCAAGTGGTGGAAATGATACCCGCACATGATCACAACATGATTGCACAGCAGCAAACAGCCAATTCCATCAAGATCGCACACCTGAGGCGATGTCACAATGTCAGGGTAGGTCCCATTGGTCATAAGGGCAATTCGGTCGTTAAGTGCTGAAGTTGTGCCATGCGCCCAACAGCTCCCGCAATACTGTACAAGCCAACAAACACAGCAAAAATGGTGCCAGTCATTCATGTGTCGCTGTGGTAAGGTGAGGGAATGAAACCTAGAATCGTCTGTGCAGGGTTGCCAACAGCAGGGCGCCCAAGGTAGGGATCCATGGAGCAGATGACAAAAGCTGCACATTGACATGTCGAGGTCACTGGGCACCATCGCAGGATCATTGTCAAGCAGCCTTCAACATCCAATTCCTGGAACAGGTTGGAACACATCTACAACAGCAGCTTGCAGCTCACCTGAGGAATGTGCTGATTTCGGTCTCTGGATGCATAGTTCGTTCCGCTGATGTTGCGAATGTCATAGGTGTTGGGAATATCACTGCTTGTGAGATATGTGTGAGGCAGAGATGACAGCACGTGAGATTTGGGAGGACCTGGAAACAGCACAAATATTGCACTTGCATGCGGAACTACAACAGTCCAATAAACCTGCATCATATTTTCAGAAAATTGCAGCTATCATGATCAACATTGATGTTAAAGTCTTGTAGGAAGCCAAGCCATACTCATTCTGGGCAACAGATAAGTGCCACCACACCAACGTCACCTGGACCCTGTGAGTGTGTGCTGACTGATCAAGCAGTGGACCGAGACAAGGAGAGCTGCAGAACAGGATTGTGCAAAAGCAGTTCCTGCCACAAGAACAAGTCCTACTTGCCAGCATGTAGATATTCCTGCCGAGGCAGAAAAATGCAGCATGTGCCAAACCCCTGATAGGTGAAGAAATGGACAAGGCCAGTCAAGCACACAGCTTCTATCCCCAAAGCGGCAGACTGGATACAAGCACCCAAGAGCAATATCATCTGCAGAATGATCTAAAATGCCAGCACCACCACGCAGTCAAGGAGTTCTCTTGAGAATCAATTGTGAATGGCACCTGGATTCCTGAGGATACAACCTCCTGGCTTGTGGAGTGAAGTTATCTTCATGTGCTTGTGAATATAGTACAAGCCCCTATCAACAAGCGCATCTGCAGGGCTGGTGACAGCTGCGGGCTGCTTCGTTGAACTACAAAAGCAAGAAAAGGTTAATTATACGGATCAATGTCAAGCCCAAAGGCCACAATCATATTAATCACATATCGCCATTTGCATCCTTTTCTGCTGTAAGCAAGGAACGTAAGCGCAATGGCAAAAGAGCTGAAAGTACATTTCCTGCATAAATCACTTCATTTGACATGGACCTCACCTTCTGCTGTCAGCTGTCTGAAGATAGTCTGGAACGACTGGGGTGGCCCATGTGCACGAGTACTCGATGCCCAAATTGGCACTGCCAGTCCTTATACGAAAGAAGCCATTTTCTCCCCAATAGGTCCCCCAGCTGTTCCTACCTATCCAGTACCTGATCACAGAACGATCGTTGGCAATGAGACAATGGGAGTGCTAATATAATGAAGAAATGTTTAAAAGTGAGGACAAGTGCATAGCACTTGACGCACTGTTGTTCAGCTTTACCATGCCACAAAGAGTGCAGCTGTGACTATTGTAGCAGGTCAATTCAAGGCATTGATGCAGAATATGTGGTCACAGGCCGTGGACTCAACAAACCATCATTTCCTGAACAAAACCACTGCACCAAAATACGATCTAAACAAGAGTTCAGCACTCACTCACTCTGTGCCATTTGCATCGACTCCCCAACCCACAAGTGAGATCTCATGGTTGGGGAAAATGAAGAATCCTTCTTGTTCAAAAACTCCTCCCTCATATGCTTCAAATTCTTCTGTGGCATAAACACCACATGAAATAGGCCCACCCTGGTACAGTTCTGCTTTGATCCGTTCTATTCTGGTAGCCAGGCGTCCGTTTGCATCATAAGGTGAACCTCCCAGTACGCTCGCATACTCCTTAACAGTGAAGCTGTCGTACTCTGTAATCGGAGAGCATGTTCCTGGGAGCAGCTGAACCAACACACACAACACAACTCAATATCCATCAAAGGTTTCATTGCATGCAGCTTGACTCACCACCAGCATTACAGTATTTGTAGATTGGTTCCAATGGAATACTGATTCTTGTTGTCAAGGTGTCCAGAATCGTCCATTTGCATGCATGGGAATTTCGCCTTGGATACTTACACCAGCAGTAATACGGACCTTTCATCAGATAAGAGAGAAAGCAACACTTCGGGAACGCTCGGTACTGCATGTGAACAGCCCTGCCCCTCACCAAATGGGTGCAACGAGAGTGCTCTGTCGTGTCTTCATCACGTAAATGTACTACATAATCCACCCAATGCAAACTATGCCAGCAACTATTATTCTTGACCAACTTTGACACTTATTACCAAACTGAAGTGAAGTGTGCATGCCAAGTCGACAGTACGGACCTAACCTGGAAAATTGTTAAGCAATACAACAAGAATGTGCCCTCAATTGGGCCCTGCCTGGCGAGGTTCAATGAAAGGGACAGCATTGATTTATGCCCCAACTACACTCAGTACACTAGTGATATAGTCCAGCCCAGTGCTGCCCAAAAGACAATACCCCACCATCCACAACACCTAGTGCCTCTGGAAATGCGATACAGGCCTCAATAAAAACACGATGCACGCACCTGGTCCGTTCCTGGGTCACATGTCCTGCACTTGCCAAGAGCATCACATTGGCCATTCACTGCCTCATATGCTTGGCAGGTCTCATCTGGCAGACCATACTCTTCCATGTATTCATACACGCCTGTGGGTCTGCCCCCACTACAAGTACCACCTCCGTTGCAATTTATCAATACCTGGGGTGCAAGCAGGATCTCCGGGAAAGCACATTTTCGATAGATCTTAATCCTGTCTGATAGTGCCGATGTCGTTCCAAAAGCCCAGCAGGAGCCGCAGTACCTGGAACACAGCTGGTAGGTCAACATCTGTATATTATTGCACTCCCTGTCTGGCACCAGTGCTCGTGGGCATATGGAACATAGCAATACTGCCCCAACAAAGCGTACAAGCTAAACAGAACACAATGATTAGTGGCTGCAAAGGGAAATTATTCACAATGCAACCACATTCATTGCACATGGGCTCACTGTGCATGGCGTGGACGTGAGCAGTGCATGAAAGCTCCACTGTTGACTGACTGTTCATTGGGCAAATGGCAAAAGGTGTTATCTGGCAGTGCCCAACAGCAGTTGAGGCTCTATCAGTGAATGGGGCATCCAATATTCTTGCCAACTCACAAAGTGGATCCCTGCAGTCCCCTAGCTCGTGATCTGCTGCCACATTCTGGTGTACCAACGATAAGGAGTGCATGTGCTTTTGGCAACCTAGTAGCACATGGAGCTGCATCCATACATATTGTTCAATGCACAAACCTGGCAGCATGTGGCTTACATGGTCTATTTGCCACTTGGCGGATATGCCCAAGTGCCACCCAGAAGAACAAGACTGGTGCACAGTTGATGATTAGCAGTAAATATTGGACCATGGAGGCAGCACAGAGTGCATTACCATTTAGAAACTGGGAAAAAGTCTGAAATACTCCTGCACAAGAGAATGAGCACCTGACCTGTTTCTTGATTCCATGCAATGACAGTTGTTTCTGGCAAAGCTATGCATTTTCTATTCAATGTCGATATGCATGACAATGGACGACAAAATGAACAATAGAAATATTGTGTTCTGCCAAATGGCATCATGTTCTGAGCAGCAATTCCATGAAGAAGACATGGCAAAAATTCCCTGCCCTTTGCAGCCGATTATGGCCACAAAAATACTATAGCCAACAACTCGTTCAGCATCCCAAATTCACAAGTCTGCTGACTCATGCCCTAATGGGGCAACAGTTTTCGAGCTTGGTGCTGTTGGGCAAGCCTGCACTCAAGTGTTTCTATCTTATCGCTACAGCCACCATGTTTTGTCAGAATTTTTGCAGCTGATAGGTGTCCAGCTTCACACCACAACAGCAAAGACCTCTTTTCCAAGTCTATCAACTGCTGCTCACTGTGGGAGGTGCTGGTTCCTTGTCTCCGTGAGATAGTTGATACCATCAACATCTCCCCAGAACCATTCTGTTGGTAAAGCTGTCACATCCATGATCTCATGGGCACGAGGACCAAGAACCTTTTCGCCTGCAACCAGAAGGGAAACACAGTCAAAATGGGCACCAGATCGACTGCGGCTACAACTCTGTCCTCACATAGAACACACATGGAAGGTGGACTCTGCACTACTCAATGTGCAGAACATACTGTTCCCAGCCAGTCACGAGCAACACAGCAGACTCCCTTGTCACAAGGCAGCAGACATGCATTAGAGACTGCTGATGTCATGAGGGGAAAGGCCTTCAAATGGTCGGGTAAGGTAGGTACGATGCAAATCCCAACCATGGAAATAGGACCCTCTATGCTGCAACGTGTTACATCAACAACGCACTATGCAACATCTGCACAAACCCTTTGTGCATATTCTACCGATCCATGCCCTGCTTGCACTGTGTGCTCTCCCTCTCGTCCCTGAGGAAAAAAGCTTCACAAATTTGCTGTTACTTTGACATGTTTCCTTCTTGTCACAATGATCTTATGTCATGCACGCACCGTTCTTAAAATCTGTGCCAGCGGTTCGGCACATGCCCCTCCTGGAAGGCCTTGGAACCTGTTGCAAGGTGTGCAAGACTCTGGACTTTAATTGTAAGCTACTCAATAAGTTTGGCTGTAAAATGCAAAGTGCCTTCACCCTGTCATAACACTTCCAAAGTGCATCTGCAGGAAGTTCGGTCGCTCTCTCCCTATCTCCCAAAGCCGAACAGCCTCACTGTCTATCAGGCAAACACGGTGCTGCAAATGAGGGAATGGGCTGTGGCAAGATTTCAGTTCACTGGGTAGATTCCTCTGCCTGCTTGCCAGTGAACCCGCACTTAGCCCATGAGCAACAGCTGGGAGGCGGTGTTAGCAAACGATTCGGATCCTGTTTGCGCCATCGCCACATACTTATTGTCCAGGTCGAGCACCCTGTGAGGAACTTGTTGTGCACAGGACATCATCCTCACTGCGAGCACTAACCGGCAATTCCCCGATTCACAGACACAACAAGAGGATGTGCTTATTGGGGCATTCCAGCAGGAACGCCAAGGACATAAGATACAACTCGACTGACATCAGTTGCTCACGCCACAGATGTGAGAGGGCGCTTCACCCATATGAACCGAAAGCAGTTCCGCCACAGGAATCGACGGGCTCAGACAGCGAGAGAGGTTTGTTTTTGGGGGAATGACAGCTCCATTTCTTCGTTACCTTTTTGGCCAGCAAATAGCCGTCCCTGCCACTCATCAGGTCATATCGATGATTCCCCGATGCACAGAAAGCACTAGTCGGACAAGAGGCTGTGCCTGTCGGGACATTCCAACTGGAACGCCCAGGATATGTGATGCACCTCGACTGACGACAATTCCTCAAGCAACAGATATGCGAGGGGGAGCTTCACCAAGCTACAGGTGCGGGGCAGGGCGCTTCACCGTAATGAATTCGAGAGTTTAGCCCCCAACAGGTACCGACGGGCTCAAACACGGAGAGAGTTTTAGTCTTGGGGAATCGACAGCGCCTTTATCTTCAATACCTGTTGGGCGGGAAGTTTGTCGTTCCTGCCAATAATCGGCCTCTCTCCGAAGTCGAACAGAGAAGGGGCTGCCAACGCAGAACTGCACAGCACAAGCATGGCCGCAGCCGCTGATGCGACCCGGAACGCCATGTTCCGTGTTTCGTGTGGCGGCCGGCGTTGAGCGATAACGGTTTGTGCGTACAGGCCTGCTAGCCACCCCTACTCCACAACCTTCGCGCGGAGTTGTGCGTGCTGCAGCAGCAGTGGCCCTAGGACGGGCGTTTGCTCCGCTGTCAGGGATGCGGTTGTTGTGGTGGTCGGCTGTTTCGGACTCACATCGATGATCGATGTGACACTATGGTGCCGCTCCTCAAACTGTTGCTGTTTGGGTGGGATAACAGGTTGTGTTGGTCAAGTTGAGTCTCCAACTTCAATCGAGGAGGTCGGCGTTGTGTGCCAGACAGTTATAGCTAGGGCAAAGCAAAGTTGGCAGGTGGGCTGTCCATGGCGCCAAACCGCGTCGATGGAGGTGATGGGGCCGATGAAGGCAACGGCTGTCGCGCACCGCTGTGCAGACCTTCATGGTTTGGGCTGCATGCGTGCGCGGGGCTGAATCGCAAGCCACAGGTCCGCCCTCTGCCGTCGCCAACGATGCGTGGCTCTTTGATTCAGGGGCGTCCCACTGTCCACAACCTGATCGCTCGGGCTCATTAGTCTGGTTGCGGAAACCAGCGATCGTGGTCAAGCGATTCGGGCGAAATGGTACCATGCGGCAAGGGGAGGCTGTTGCACCATATCATCTGGCTGCTCATATGTGGTACGATTTCCAAGGGTCAACGGTGCTTTTGGCAGCACGTCCATGCCGGGGCATGCCTGCTGTCTGCAGGATATGTGAATCCCTTGATTTCTGTGGTTGAGGACATCCTTCTGTTGTAAATGTCTTGCAAATGCAATGGCACGTATTCCATGGGGAATCCCTGTGGTATATTCTATGAAACCAATGGCTGCTCATATGCAACGGGTGGAGAATAGCACATTATCGATGAACAGTTCTTTATGAAGTCATAACATGTTTAAATATGTGGCAATATGCCACCAACGACACGAATCCATATCCGACATTTGCTGGGCCACTGTACACCAGGATTGTGGAGGACCGACAGGAATGGCGTTCAGAGTCCCAGGGGCAGGAACATCTGTTTCACATACTGCACTGAGCAGACATTGATATTAGGCACACACCAAAGTTCAGAAGATCAATGAAGCCATGGATAATGCAAAGCTCTGCACCGCAGAAATCTGCAGTTGCCCACTAGCAATGTGAACAGAGCACGTGGGTAATGTGCATGATGCAAAGTTCGCCCTTGCAGGACTTGGAGTTGATGGCCGCAAAGGTTTCATCAAGAACGGCAGACTGCAGCCCCTCGTGCCAGGTCAAGCACAAGGCAGAAATATCTTGAAGGTGAGGCACATGTGCAAGACACTGAGAGGACAGGCCATTCTTCTTTGCCGTTGAAAGATGGTATGAGAGCAATTTGCGATGCTGAGGAACACTGCTGTTGGCCAGACTTTGCTATACATCGTCCCTTGGATTGGTACCAAACTCCAAGGGAAGTCAACAACAGAGTAGATATCGCACATACGGGATTATATTAGAACCAAACATGTCAGCAATGTATGGACCAGTTGTAGAGCAGCTAGTTCACTGTGGTGTTGCTAACACTTCATGCATTCTGGAAATGTTGTTTTGTTGCTTTGTTTTCATTACTGTTGTATCTACGGTGTTTTTACATGGATCTGAGAGTATGCATTGTTTCAGGATGACACATTCCTGCCTAATGCAGAATCGTTTGTGGGCCACGTCACGAGTGATCCAGGCCAGGAATTCGGATTGTGCACGCTGAACGAATCGCGTTGGCACCTTGAGACAAATGCTGTCTGCAAGGACAAACTGGTATGCACAATTTAACCTGCAAAACAGTTGTCTCTTTGCACACTTTCTGTTGTACGGTCAAGAACTGCGCAGTTTCTGCTTTGCTCAATAGAAGATAGCTAATTCCAATTGTAGAAGTTGTTGATTTACCAACTTTTGCTTCTGATCATTTAAACACAACACCCCTGCTTACATTAAGTGTTGCTTGAAAGCTTTTCCAGGAGAAAGTGCTCATATAGTCTGTTGATCGCTTGAACCAAGTCTGTTTATACGGCTTAAGAACAATATGCATTTACATTTCACCAATTTTAATGTCCTCACTTTAACACCTGTGCGAAATGTGGTAGCCCTCTTGGTCTAATGGGGATTTTTCCTGGGGATCCTCTCGTCGATTTTCTTGTCCCCATGGATATATGTTGTCCCCACTGGAATGATCAATGTACGTTTACTGAAGTGTACAGGGGTATATTTGTGGTTTTGAGCTCTGCTCGAGTGCAATTCAATGCCTCATTGTTGTGTGCATTTGTGGCAGACTTGTGTTCCCATATTGACGCCAGTGCATACGCCAGGGAGGCAGCAAGATCTGGAGAGAAGAGGGGTTTGCGTGAAATTCCAAGAACCTGTGAGCTACGTGTTCGACTCAAATGGCAGCATGCCCATCCCTGTGGCGTACTTCCCTCTTACCGATGGCAACACCGCGTCATGGCCAATAAAATCTTTTGAAGCTGTAAACGCCAGCACTGCTGTCTTTTCTGATGATGAAATTTTTGGGCGCGTCCTGCATTGCAAGGAGGTAAATTTGCATTTGCTACCCATACATGTCGGAATACCACAACTGATGGCACGGATCGATGACGTAACCATCTTGTGACTCTGCTCAAGGTCGGTGATGGGCGGTTGCTACATTTTCAGAGCAAGGTGGCTGGGAATCAGCAGCCTAAAGTCACGTCGGCACTGCACTTTCAATCCTGGCAAGTGGGCGGTGGCAATGTAGTCATGACCAATGGTCTTATCAATTGTTGTCTTATCAGTTGGAAATTGTGGCACATGCTGCACAAATTCTGTGCTGCAGACAGAAATAATTGGCATAAATCCGCACCCACATGGAAGTCTGAATAAGAGCATTGGAAATTGCAGCAGCTGCCTTGTGACTATCTGGCTGCCTGTCTCTCTGTCGTCTATGTGCAGATGGACATTGGTTAACGGTTTGTTTATGTGATCCAGGGTGCAGTGGTGTTGCCATCCGTTAGCTATGGTCGCACTGGCCAGTTTGCAATCAACATGTGGGTTCGCCCAATGGGTCCAAGAGACGACATTGCTTATCAGTATATCTATTCCCACACCAAGTTGGGAGGCCAACCAGGAGGTCTGTCTGACTCACAGGTATGGGTAATGTGCGAATGACAATGCGGTAGAGCGCCTGATCTTCCTGATGGAAGTGATGTCCTCAGGAAAAAAATGTCCTGTGTTGTGACATGCAAGACTTGCACAACATCCCAAACATCGGGAGGTATTTATGCTGTTTGAAGTACGAATCTGCATGCACGATGTTGCACTCGCACGACATTTCATGCACATATTCACTTGCTTTACACACAGGTGTTCACATCCGTGCACATACGTGAAACTGTGCTGTAGTATTGCAATCCTCCGCAGGCAATAGAAGACTGATCAGGAACTTGATACTTATCACACCATAATGTGCGCATTTCCGGTAGTATGAGGCCTCCTGTGTGGGAAGGACGGTCTGTGTGCAAGTGGCTCTCAAATCATTTCCTACATTATTTGTTGTTGATGCAGTTGGGGCACACAACTTACAAAGGAACAAAACGTGCTTTGTCTTGCAGATCCATATCTATTTAGCACGTTCAGGACTTCCTGCTCATGGAGTATTGCGGACAATGGTGAAGGATGGAAACGACGTTGGGGCATCCAATTTCCTGGACTCGGATGGAGTGGTGAGAAGAAACTGATTGAATAGCTTTCTTGTGATCACGTGCATGTTTCTTTTGATGAGGTAATAATCACGAAAAGGAAAGTGGCGGCACCAATTTCAGTCGTTTTAGCTAGAAACGTGGCAGTTGGAAATTTGACACCATCGATCCGATATGTGATGTAGGTCTCAAACAACGGGCTCCGGGCTGCTCTTGAGGAGAACCCAAATTTATTTGACAACAAATGGCATATGGTGACAGTTACGAGCAATGGCGCAAGCGAGAAAGGGTTCTCTCTGTACATTGATGGTAAAATCGCCGGGAAAATGGCAGAAGAAGAGCCAAATCAGGAGGTAAGATACTGCATACCTAATAGTGGAGGCAGCTTCATGATTTTACGGCGAGTATTCTTCAAATTTCGAAATCGTTAATCTGCTGCAGACATGCAGATTTTCTTGCTACCAACTGGTCCCTTCAATAGTAATTCTTCGTTGTTTATTATTCATGAGTGTAAAAAAGCAAATATCTGACTGACTTTTTCGATTGAACAAGCATGTGCGAGTAGCAGACTGATCCAGTTGATTCACACCTTAGTTTCCGTGGCTTGATTTGTTGCACTTGGGCGCGAATCGAAGATACTTTCTGGAGCAATGATACATGCATCCACACACGCACACGCACACGCACACGCACATGCACACGCACACGCACACGCACACGCACACGCACACGCACACGCACACGCACACGCACACGCACACGCACACGCACACGCACACGCACACGCACACGCACATGCACACGCACACGCACACGCACACGCACACGCACACATGGGCACCCATGCGCCCGCGTGCCCAAGCGCCTGCGTGCCTGCCTGCATGCCCGTCCGCTCGCACGCACGCACGCACGCATCCAAGTGATGCAGAATACTGTTCCATGTTCAGTCTACATCAAAATGGCATGTGATGGACTGATATGACTTTAAAACTGTGCCAGGCGGAAGGTGGTGACCCTGTCAATCTCAGTGGTGAGATCTTCCTATGTTCTCGAACTGACCAGTCACCCCAGAGGCTATTCAACGGCAAATTGGCCCATCTCGCCCTCTTTGATGAACGACTTTCACCACCAGACGTCATGAGGTTGTATGCCACATTCTTCTCCACAAAGGCCATGCTTCAACATGGGTCGCCTGAAGGGAAACATTTTACCAAAGATGGCCATCCATGCTATTTTCCTGCTATCTTGAGGTCAGTGCTCGTGCTCATGATGCTGAAGGAATATCTGAAGATTGCACTATGACTTTAAACTGTCGGTACCAGGCCGTTCTAGTGGCATAGCTATGTCAGACCTGAATCTGCATCTGCAAAAATATGTTTGTGCCCATCCGGTCTTCTTCAACCAACCCCGTATTCCCCACACGACAACATTACACATGCAATGTACTGGTGTCCATCACCTCACAAGAACAAGACCCGATGGTGACCCACTTGAAATGTGCCCTTCGTTTTGCATAGTGCTTAATGCCACGTTGATGCCACGTTGACACAACACTGAGTCACCGGGCACAGGGGCAACATAAAACCGGAATCCAATGGTGCTGTATAGCCAGTAAAAGGGCGGCCCCGGCCCAGATCGGCAGACCAGCGTGCCCACCCAGCGTTCACCCAATGTCGCTCTTGGCAGAACTCATCAACAAATGTTTAATTCTATTGTTGCATGTGGGCAAACTCGCCTGATCCATAGATCCAATTGACATATGGGCTCTTTGCAATCGATGAGTGTGCTGAAAATTTGGTTCACTACTTAGATTCCCCTTATTCTTGCATGTTGTCTGCACGGCTTCTGTTTCAATTTGCCTCACACTGACAGTTGCATATCACACACACACAATATCAGAAGTTCAGCAAGGATGGAATTTGTGTGAAAAAGCCCCATCATCGCCCACGTATGAGTACATGTTTAGTGGTACTTTGTGCAGATTTGCAAACGAGAATATCCTCGTCAATATCCAAGGTGGATATGATCCACATCATGACCATGTGGGCTACTGCTCTTTTGTGCTTTGCCACGATAATGGAATTGAGAATATTGATGCGGCATGTGTGTAGCGCTCTTTTGCAGGGGAGGATGGGTTGATGAATGCTCTCTGGTAGATGATTTTCTGCAGTGCCCATTCGCACCAGGAAGTTGGCAAAAATGTGACCAGCGTAATGTATCAAATGCGATTGAGGGGCAAAGAGGTACGGACGCAACCTGGCTGAGATACCCATTCTATATTTGTGGCGTCGCATTTTACCTATGCACAGATGTGCTTTGAAGACAGGCAGGTCTGCCTCGATTTATGTCAAATTGAATTGCTAACATTCACAATGTATTATGTGTGGGCTTCAATTTACATCGCAAGAAGTACTGGTGATAGTACTGCTAATGGGCGCAGTCATTTATGGTTTGATTTTAACACACATTCAAAAATATTGCACCATGATATCAGGGGAAGCAAGAAAGCGGGATTTGGCAGTGAACCGCTACACATCCGACGGCGAGACCTGCCATTTTCCAGCTTTTTATGGCGGCCGCTGGTCATCAGACTGCCTGGAAATCAACGGGAAGAGCAGATGCCAAGTTGAAGGTTCTACTGTGTGGAAGGAATGCTCTGAATATGAACCAAGTGCAGGCGAGGAGGAAGCCAGTTTACAAGTGAGCACATGCACCTCCAATATTGAGCAGTTGCATTGATTTGGGCTTCAGCACGCGAACCCAGCAAGTGTCAGATGTCCGCACATTACAGTGCGAATTCATTGTTTGTCAATAGGAGAACAATTTTGAGCCTCGCTCCATGTTTTGAAATGGTTGGCCTGCTGAATATGGCGATCACCAAAATTTCGTGATTCCGGTAACCTGACTGCTAGAGAATCGATGATTCTGTCGTGACAAATTTGTGTATCTGTCAGTCTCCTACAAGGATGACGATTCGCGGCGAGCCTTGTGAGTTTCCATTTCTACATGATGGAAAAAAGATGACAGATTGTACAATAATTGCTGGCCATTGGTCATGCAAGGTGGATTCTGGGGAAATCGTTCCATGCCGTGTTGAACGCGATCCCGGCACAGATTCCACTACCAAATCATCTGAGCTGCCCATCAGCAGAGTTACAGTGGATGGCGAGAAGTGCTCTTTTCCATTCTGGTAAGATTTGTGTAGCTTAGCATGACCCCTAGAGATTGAAATTGCTACTGGAACAGCCGTTCTGACGAGCTCTGATATGAGATTATGTTTTCGGTGCGGCAGTAAGTGCGTGCTGACAATAATTCGATGCAATTGTGTACAAACGTCCAATATTTTCACTCAAACCGATGCTGACCACCACCCGGCCAAGCCAATCGTCATGCGCACGCATAGGCACATGGCAGTAGCATGCCTCAAGCCCCATCAAAAAATATTTGCCATGGGTGCCTGATGTATCTCAATGTAACCCAAACCTATGTTGTCTTGGGTATTCATTGCTGCCATGTTGCAGGTTTGATGCGACGTCCATAGGCGATTGTGCAAACATGGACGGCGTGCCCACCTGTGCAACCAACGAAGGCGTCCTGAAGGAATGTGCTCCATTGCGCCTAGCAATCTCTGGAAAGCCATGCGCATTCCCATTTGAACGCGACGGGATAAACCACACAGAGTGCTTGGAAATCGAAGGCGAAAGCCAATGCATGATTGCAGGTAAATGGGCAACATGAAAAAAGAGGATGTTGTGGAGAGCACTCATTGTCTGTTGATCCACTGACACTTTGCCTTGGCAGATGCAACAAACAGTTGCCAGAAATGAATTCTACCAGACATTACCTTAGTGTTGATCTTAGTGCGGAATGAAAAGCAGCATTGTTGTTGTTGTGTATGTAGTTATCACTACAGGCTACAGTATCACCAGTCAGACAGCTCAGAGTGTCACTTGTGTCCTCAATAAAGGAATGCTCCCGAACAGTATGCTCCCAGAACTTGGACACAGAAAATGACCTTTCTTAAACGGCTTCAACAAAAATCGCGCATTCTGCAGCAGATTTGAATTGTTTCCTGACGAGGCGGGTTGCAACTACCGCTTTGGGGGAAATGAAATATTTCGCTGTGCACGCACTGTATGGAGTCAGCACACACTCGTGAAGCGATAATCAGGATTGTGGCGATGCCTGTGGTGCTTACCTTCTGCACAAGGCATTGCCAGCTTTCAATTAAATATCAATGCTGTCGCTGCAGATGGCAAGATGGAGGCCTGTGCACCAGTGGAGCTGCAAATTCCTCCAGCATTCTCCTTCTCAGTGAATGGGGATGCCACCTTGTTGGCAGGGCGAGTCACGGTCCACAATAACGTCTGCTCATTCCCATTCTGGTATGGGGGAGTGCTGCACTCGACGTGCGTGCCACGCTTTGAAGGTAATTAGCCATCATCGCAGACTTGCTGCATCGAGTAGCACAGGAGGATCACTGGGAGCTCACACTGCCAGTTTTTATGGTGCTGAAGCGTGTTCTGCGAAAGAGTTGAAACACCGTGTGGCTCTGAGCAGGGGACGCCGACAGCTTCTGCCACACTGGACAGGGCAACCTGGAGCAGTGCAAACCGGTGAGAAGGACAGTCGACGGGAAGGATTGCAGCTTTCCATCCATCTTCAATGGGGATGTGCTCTTGGATTGTGTAGAGCAATCAGGAGATGAGTGGTGTACTGCAGCAGATGGAGACTTTCAAATTTGCGCACCAGCAAATCAACGCGTTCCCCAGGAGTTGTTGGTGCCATAAATTACTTTTTCAGCTGCGATTAGGCAATGCGAAATGGTCCCGATGGAGTGGTATGGAGCAAATGTGCGTTGCCGGGTAGATGGTATTGGTTCTTCTAGTAATGTCTCATCTACAATTTTAGAAGCTATCGGATATGTCAAGTGAGAACGGCATCCAGGTTTGGTTGAATTCACCCGTGTCTCCAATCACTAAAAGCTGCTGTTGGAGCTAATCAATGTTTCCCACAAGATTCATGCCTTGATTTCGCAAACCTCGTTGCCTTCTACCATATCATTTCAGGGGAGCTTGTTTGGTTAGCATTCTAACAGCATTCTGACGTTAAATCGAGGGGGCGAATGGAATTCGGTCCCAACTGTTTTGACGTGCAAATCAGTGGGGCTGCGTGCTACAGGCTGGCCTCTTGTGTGCATGTTGTAAAGCCTTCGGCAAGGTGCGGGTCGGATTCGAAACCCATTGCATGCGCAGAAATCAAAGCATGACAAGGTGACTATTGCATTATGTCGACTTTGTACACTGGACGTCAACTTGCCCAACGAGATAGCGTGCCAGCCAGCACTTCCAGAACCCCGCTATCGTTCCCGCTGTGCTCCGATCGTCGGCTTGGGATCCGATGGACAATTGCAAAGCACGGATAGGCGATGGTTGCTACAGGCAGCTGCCCATCGCCGTTGAGCATCCATGTACGATCTCCACAGTACATAGCCCGCAACATGTTGATCTTCCAAACCTCCTGTGGACGATACGTTTTGTGCACACTCGTTATGCAATCTTGCTCCCTAACAGAAACCGCCGGCCGAAATCGCTGTCTCGATTGGGTGCAGCCTCTGACATCATAGAGCAAAAGTGCACGGCGTCCTTTCCCACACAACAAAGCCCATTATGGCCACTTTCTTGTTTCAATTCCAGCTTAATTGTTTATACTTCAAGTAATTCATACTGGAATGAAAGGGAGGAAGCAGCCACAATTGAATTTGTAGGGCCCTTGAAAGGCACACAGCTGTATGGCCTGTGTGTATTGTAATGCATTGCAACAAGGCAATTGAGATTTATTTTATTGTCCATGGGAGGCTTAAGCCCAGCTAGTACTTGGAAAGAACAACATCTACCCTGGTGCCTTTCAATTGTGATCGCTTCAATGCCCCTCATCCAACGGTGCCGATGCATTATGAGGTACCAAAATGCAACAATTATTGCATTTTGGTATTGAGGGCTCCGACATAGCACTGCGCTGATTCTATATTTCGCAATAGTCCATGCCCGGCACCAGGCAACGAGTTTTATAATAATCATCGCTGCTTCCTACCTGCCAGTAACTTCACTCAATCGAGCATGTGTTTTGCACCACGATTGGCATGGTGCGCCATGAAACGGCAATGACGCCCCAGGAGAGCCACGACACTTGACGGGAGTTGAGCGAAAAGCGAACGACATGACAGGTCACCCAAAGACTTCGGGCGGTGGTACAGCCCCGACCGGCCCAAGGGCGAGTCCCTTTCTGTTTGCAGCCGTCAACATCGCCCCCCCAATTCCGCATGTTGCAACTGTAATCGACGGATTTTGATGATGATGCTGATGTTGCAAATGGCCAAACTTCCACAAATTGTACAGAAATGAGCCCCATTTGACTGTCACGTCCATATAATAGTCTGGTTCTGCAAAAAACAGATCCATACAACAGATTCCCTATTAATCATTACACTGTTTACTTACAACCACCCCAGCCATCCCATTACGACACATGCTGGATTGCCCCTGCCCCCTTTTCGTTTCACCACACCACTACGTCCCACATCCCTTCAATGTGAATCCTCAATTCAACCAAGCCCAAAGCCCATAATCATACAGTGGACAAATTGCAAAGCATCAACTTTGAAAGACAACTGGGCGCTGCCTCGAATTGCAAAAGTCTAATAGACAACTTGTAAGCAAATATTGTGCGAAAGAGGGGGACACATTTTCGTGGCTCCCTTACGCTGAAGGAAATCAGTGCGGCCGCCTCAATCTAATTGCCCCTGCTCAATGCTTTTGTCGCTTGAGTCTCACTGACGCTGACAGGTTCCATTACATCAAGACATTTCAGCGCCAGTGCTGTGGTGCTGAAAAGTGTCCTGTCCAAGCCAATTGCCCACTGTGGTCGTCAGAGCCACACCACAGAGGAAACTAAACCATTCTAACCAGGACCAACAACTCTGAAATGAAGTCCACATCTGCGGGCATCCTTCGATGCAGTTATTCAAGTGCTCGCACAAACACAACCATGCTTGCACATCGAGATTTTTCACACCTGCGACATTAACGTGCCCTGTCGTGGCTTCAGACCCACCGACACACAGGTCATGCCTGTGCACTGTTTTTTGCACTCAAAGCTTCGCTCGCCAGTTGAGCTTCCCCTAGCAGCAAGCACCGCACATGTGTGATAATTGAAACATGAATTCATAAAGGTCGGGCTTCCACGAACATGTTTAAAGTTTACGAACAATAGCTGCGGGATTATCATAATCTACTAGGCAGAAATTCGATACATGACCTAAATAATTTGCAAAACCCAAATTAAAACAATAGCTGAGGCATTTGGAGTGACATATCTGCACAGCTGAGATGAGAACTAAGTTGCCAGTATCGGAGTTATGCAGCTCGCTAAAATATTTCAACCTCACAGAAGATCTTGGAAAGTCAAGGGGACCATTAAGTTGCCAGTACTAGATGTGTGCAATCCTCCACAAGCGACTGAAAGCGACTGAAAGCGACTGAAAGCGACTGAACATTGCAGAAGAATTTTGGACGGGCCACATCCTTTGTGCAGATAAACAACCACCAAGCATGAAGAAATGCCTGGTAGGCAATTCACTGCAGGGCTGGTCCATCAACGCCCTAGGGATGCCAGATGCAGAGCCGAATAGACCACACAATCACCGAGTGTGGCAAGCATGGGGTTGTGGTCTACAACTTGACTTAGCAGCAGCAGACTCAGTTGTCAGGCAAAAACTCCAAGGGAACATTATGCTGCAAGGGGGTAGGGCTGCTGAGCCTTCAACGCCAATCAGAGTTGTGTTCTGGTGCCAAATTGTTGGGGCATGACAATTCCAGGACCAAAACTGCAGTAGGCTCTTGTTTGTACTGAGCAAGGGTAGTGGAGAGAGGGGCGTATGCAGCCGATGCCGACACAACCAACTATTCAGTTTGTGCTAAAGCTGGCTCAGAGGAAGAGCTGAAATCTTGAAACCGATGCCCATTGCCTTGAAGGTTCTGCTCTATAACAGCAAAACAGCAAGGTTCCCCTCTCAACGTGAACACATGGAATCCTCCCTGCCAGAAAATCGAACACCACTACTGTTCCTGGCCAACGTTCCCATTCTCTTTCCCCATTTCTTCCCCGCCACGATCACCAGTGCCAGTCTATCTCACCACCCAGCCCCCAAGAACACATGTCCATTGTTTGCCCTTGTGTATGCCAGTACACGCACACTGCCGCTTGCATCTACACAGTTGCCAGAATGGATATGCATATCAGCACAATAGTGCAAATTTAGCTCACAAAGCACATGGAAAACAAATCATTGCTTGAACAGCAAAATGCACTTACGTGTAAACGCCTTCTTGCACCACCAAAACACAAAGAACATGAAGATATACGTTCCCACCAATACATAAGCCAACAAGTAGGTTGCAGTGTACGCATTCTCTTCATCCGAATTGAAGGAAATGTCCACCTGAACAACACCAAACAGTAACTAAACTCCATTCGATACTCAATCTAGTGCACTTGCATTCCTGTCTTGTTTTGGCGGGGTATGGAGCAAGTGCCTCAAGCAGCATCCATGACAGAATGCAAACAAGAGGAAAGAGGACCCAGGTCCAACAGGGGAAACATTTTTACAAAGAAAAGAGACACAGGTCATACCAAGGGCCACCCTCCCTAAGCAAGTGTATGCAACAATCCTCCAACATGCACAAGCCAACTTTCGTCCGTACAGCTGTAAACTGGCAATGACCACACATAGGCAGCAATTCCAACACCACTTGCCGTTTTGTCAGAAGCATGCAAAGTAAGGGCATCGAGCAGCAAGAAAGCTGATGTGTAAATGGATGCTGTCTGCATGATTGAGTACCTGCATACACAGTATGCAAGCCCATGTTAAGGTGGAGACCAGAATTGTGTCAGCCCATTTCAAGTGGAGAACTGTGCAATTAGCTGAAGAAAATTTGAAACAGTGGGGATAATCCCATGTACTACTGCAGCTGCATTTCGCTGTATTCGTTATCTCACTCTGATGAACACCATCGAGCCATCTGCTGAATCTTCATGATAACACAAGTGGTGGGGCTACATGTGATGTTTGTTGACAACCTAATTGAAACATCGATAGCTGTTACCATGGATACCTACCCTGCACCCATCATCTGCCCTCGTGACATCCATTTACTGTGGAAAGCAGGTGCACACACACACACACACAAGAGACACATGCTTGTTAGAGAACATGCTGGGGCATTGCAAATGGCCATCTACATAACACGCTTGAAATCTTCTTCAAAGCACTACACCTACAGTCCTCAAAATCCAGAAGGTTGTTCTCCAGCAACAAGGTGGAGCACACAAAAAAAAATCAGGCAGACAATATCCTACCAGAAAAGGAACAGAAACGTGAAGACCGAGTAGCCGATGACGAGGATGGCACCCAGCACAGTTCCTGCCATCAAACCAACAAGCGAAAACTGGCGGGCTTCGGAACTGGCATCTTGTAGATCATCCAATTCGTTGTACAGCTGCACACACATTCACAGCAAACAGCAGAATCAACAGCACGCACAAACCACATCCTTATCTGTATCAACGAAGAAAGAAGAACATGAGCGTCATGCCTCACCTTCATACAGCCGCTGTGTGCACATTTTCAAAGTGTTTGGCACCAACAATGAAGCTTTTCAAAACCGACTTGCATTCCATTACCGTTAGTAACTAAAATATTCGGTAAAACTTCTGAAACAACTGGACGCACCTCTCTGACATTTTCCAGTGTGACGGCAGCAAGGATCGCAAACCCGATGGAAAGCACCTGCGACAAAACAACCAATGTCACCAAGAAACGCAGTCTACCTCGTTGCCATTGTTACCCGCACAAAAGAATCTACGGCCCCATATTATTCTGCCGCTTCAATCATCTGCATTATGCTTGCAGGGTAAGCGGGCAATCTTTGTGGATGGATCGAGATCGCGGCTTATCGCGCTGCAAGACAGCAACATGTACACTTTCCAAAACAGATGCCTCAGCTGCGTTGGAGTTCAACCACGTCCACTGCGTCGAAAGTGAATCAGGCGCGATGTTCGTGCAGCATGCAATCAGAACCGTCAATTCACTGTCAGCAGCACATTGTTCCTTGTGCTCCATTTCCTCGGCCCACGGCGCAAGTACAACTGCGCTCTGCCACAGCACAGCACAGCACAGCACAGGACAGGACAGCACAGCACAGGACAGGACAGGACAGGACAGCACGGATGCTGAGGGTCACCCCTGAGTCTCCTCGCCCTGGGCGCTCGCTGACTTTTTATTGCGATTCAACTTCAATCGTATCACTCACGGTCGCGAAACTCGTATCCGAGAGCTTTTAAGCCAACAGAGCTGGGATGCCTCTCAAAAGCACAAGCCCATACAGGACCAACAGGTCAAACCCTGCACAACCCTTGGAAATGGCATCCCTTCTGGTCCACAACAGTCGCGTTGCCAAATGTCCACCGCATCGAGCACTCGTTCGCATCTTGCACTCCCTGGAACGCTTTCTAAACGGCGTCGTTCCCTCCGAACTCGGATTGGTGTGCATTGCATACCGTGTTGAGAAACCAGAAAAACCACACGGCCGCCTTGCCCGTGCACCCCATTTGTGGGCTTCAAGGAGAACAGGGCTGGAAGACCGGCTGTATGCCACAGCAAAGCGGCAGCACGGCGCCTCGCAGAACGAGAAGAAGCGCGGCAGCCGACACCACAGCAGGTAAAAAGGAGCCGCTGGCTACATATGGGGTTGCGTGTTCAGAAAATTGCTATGATTGACTGACTGCACGGTGGCACTGACATGGCACCACGTACAATTGCCACGTGCACCATATGAGTCTGGCGAGAATACATTAGTCCCTCTGCTTATTCGCTGAGTTTTGATTCTTATTTTGCACACAGAGAGACGCACCGCACCGCTCCTGAGCCATTGGGAATCGCGGGCGAGCGATCAGGGTAAGCGGGACGACGGTAATCGAAACAATGAAAGAAAAGGGGGGGGCGGGGGGAGGGCAGCGCCACTTCTGCCAGCGCTCGCAGTTGCGTGAAGGCAACAAGACATCAGCAAAAGTGCCCCGGGGGCCAGTGGCTGATTGCCGCCCTACCAAGCTGCCAGGCTAGCATTGGCACCAAAAGAATTCGAATTCCGTAGTTTCAGGAGCTGTTGCAGTCTTGCTCTTGTCCTCAGTGACTTTCAAGCTTTGTAAAAGGACCGCAGGATTTAGAATGCTCGCCTGGTTTGGGGTGCTGTATGTGAATGTATGTTCCCTGACACTATGCCTGTGTTGTACAGGATTGATCCATCAATCCATGCTGGCCTGCATGTCCACCACACATGCTGCGCAACAAGGGGGGCACCAATGCACAAGCAACAGCTGAGCTACGTTGTCAAAAGATCGGTAGAGGACCAATGTTGACAACAAGGAATGAAACAATGCCACTACTGATAAGAATACACATAGCTTGCACAACCATGCTTGCTTGAGCGGTGCAGCACTTTTGCTGCAATTCATGTGCCAAATTGCAAGAGAATTGCAAACCTGGCATGCCTCGCGTACTATTCCCAAGACCACCCACCCACCACCAGTTTCTTCCGAACGAGAGCGAGTGCTAAAGCCGCGCTCCAAGGCGCCCGCTCTAAGGACGATAGCACACTTTTCTCAAGTGAAATGCAATCGACTCGTCTGGTCGATTGCCACAAACAAAATTTTCAAACTTGCCTCCCCCCACCCCACCCCACCCCACCCCCACCCCCACGCCACTCGCCTCCAATCGGCGGCCAAGGAAGCACCTCAAAGCGCTGTAGCGCCACTGCCAAGCCTTTTTGAAGTGAAAGATCACGGCGATCGACCCATTGGGTCAATCGCCGTGGCCGCAATTTTCAAATTTGAACTTGAACCAACCCGCCCCACTCCTCTAAAACCGCCACTCGTTGTAATCTATGGCCAAGAAACACCAAGAGGCACCTCAAAGTGGCCGCCTAGCTTGCTCGAAGTGAACATCGCATCGGGCGACCAGTTGCGTCAATCGCCTTGAACAGATTTTTTTCGCATCAGTTGCCCCCCAACCCCTACATCCCTTACCCATCGCCCTCCCAGACGCGACTCGAGCCATGGCCGTAGTAGAGGTGGCCACCCGGATCCGTTAATAACGGACGAGGGTGCCGTCCGTTAAATATCCGTTAATTTAGCGGACCCCGCTCTCTCTCTTGCTGACGTGGCACGGATGGCAGCGGACGGCTGGTGCCAGTCAGCGGACTCTGCGGATTCCGCTTGGGCGTTAACGGATATTTTCCAGCGGACCGGAAGCCGCGCACCCCATCCGCTAATTTAGCGGATGGCAGCAGACGTGTGTGCCGAATCAGCGGATGACAGGCAGTAAGTACTGATTTCCGAATCTGCGGATCGGGTTGATTGCCAGCGTGGCTCAGCCAGCGTCCACATACCGCGGACCTTATTTGGTCGCTCTTCTGGTGCTGCCGCAGTCTCCAACCCTTGCCGCCCCACCAGCCACACCATGGACCCAGCACCTGCCGGCCAAGAGGTAAGGCATACCGCGCGGCGCGCGCACGGGCGGCAGAACCAGAAGCCAGGGCAACGCCCTCAGTACCGCCGACCTGGCGGGAAATTCCGGGCCGCGCAGGGTGTTGGGGGCGGGGGGGCTCGGATGTTCTGTTGGCCGAAAACCTGTCTGTGGCCGGATGCAATCCGCCGCTGATGCACAGGCATACCGCGCTATCCTGCTTTCTGGCCAGGGCAACGCCCTCAGTACCGCCGACCTGGCGGGAAAATCTGGGCCGCGCGGGGTGTTGGGGGGGGGGGGCTCGGATGATCTGTTGGCCGAAAACCTGTCTGGCCGGATGCAATCCGCCGGTGATGCTCAGGCATAGCGCGCTATCCTCGCTGCCGTATAACGCTCACATCACCGACCAAGGGAAAATGCGGTCAAGCAAAAGCGCCTCATTTTATCCCCTGCTGGGTTTAGTAACCCGGTTCGCCGGATGCAATCCGGCCGGTGATGCTCAGGCATAGCGCGCTATCCTGCTTTCTGGCCAGGGCAACGCCCTCAGTACCGCCGACCTGGCGGGAAAATGCGGGCCGCGCGGGGTGTTTGGGGGGCGGGGGCCCGGATGATCTGTTGGCCGAAAACCTGTCTGGCCGGATGCAATCCGCCGGTGATGCTCAGGCATAGCGCGCGCTATCCTGCTTCCTGGCCAGGGCAACGCCCTCAGTACTGCCGACCTGGCGGGAAAATCCGGGTCGTGGGGGGTCTCGGATTATGTGTGGACTTTGGAAGCCTGGTGGCACATGGCCGGGTGGGAAGATCATGGTCAGGGTTTGACTTCATTCCGGGATTTAACCTGCGACCCTCACCAACTGTGTTGCATTGTAGGTGCGACCAGTGCTGAAACGGAAAGCAGGCAGGGACGCCTTCGACATGAGGGACGTGTAGGTGCGGTGGACGTGTACCTCTGTGCAGCAAGCCTGAGCGTCGCCTATTGTGGCTGGGTGCTATAGGGAACATCGCGGGAAGTCGGGTACAATCGCAATGTTGATTCTAAGGCTGGTAATCCAAGGCTTGTATGCCTCTGGCTGGAAACCATGCATCCATTCGGGCACCTACTGTCCTGCGTATATGTTGGAAATGTACTTAACGTTGCGTGTGGTGCTGCAGCCTCACCAAGCTGCGTCAATGCAGATCCACAAACCATCGGGAGGGGAATGGCGAGCACAGAGGAGCAGCAAGACGAACCCTCACTTGGTGAGTGGATTACCACTACACTTGCTGAACTGTATTTTGCTGTCGTCTTTGGCGGCTGTGGCTGTGTGTGTTTGTGGGTGGGTAGGGTGCTGCGCCATTCTGGCATGGCCACCTCGTTGGTGGCAGTACCCGTCGTCACCTGGCTGGGGAAACCTTGGCAGTTGGTTCCTTCCATGTGGCCATGCACTGCACAGGGTGCACCACTTGTCGCTTCAATACCCATCGTCTTTGCTTACATGCCACCAACATTATCTGGCAGTACCCGCCGTCACCTGGCTGGGGAAGTCTTACCACTTTGTTACCTTTAGGGGGCCGTGCATTGTACAGGGCGTGCTGCATTTCTCTACAATAGCTGTTGTCTTTGCTTTCGTGCTACCACCAGTATGTGGCAGTACCTGCCGTCACCTGGTTGGGGAATCAGTGTATTATGTGCCTGTGTTAGGTCGGAAGCGGCCCCTCAACAGGGGCCAACGTTATAAGGATGGCCGAAAGCGGCGGCACAGACACAACAGGAAGGGGGGAAGGAGACGTGCAAGGGTGAAAGTCAGGCGGCGGATAGAAGCTGCGCGCGATAGGGAAGCTCAGCGCGATAGGGAAGCTCTAGCAGATAGATTAGAGGAAATACAAGAAGCTTGCTAGGGTGGCAGATGGCAGAGAGTGGATGGTCGCAGCAGAAGCTAGCGCATCGACGCACGAAGGGGGGGAAGGGAGGGAAGGGAGGGAAGGGAGGGAAGTAGTGACTTTGGATTCCAAAGTTTGGATCACCACCGGTGACCACCCTCGTTGCCCCGGCGTGGAAACTGTGGAGTACCGCCGCAGCAAGGGTGCGGCTACCATAGAGATAGAAGATAAGATATCATGACTTGTAATATTCCGTTGTCCTGTGTTGATGTGCACACCTTGAACACACTATGTTGAGTGGTGGATGAACCCTGGGTATCATATAGATAGAAGAAAATTTTATTCAAGAAATGCGTCCCAACAAGTACTGCGATTGGTGGATAGACTTTACAGTCGCTGCCCTGGCGTGGAAACCTCTAGAGTACCGCCGCAGTGAGGGTGCAATAGGTAGAGATGGACGATAACAAATAACGACTCGTATTATTCATTGCCCGTTTTCATGTGTTGAGCTGTTGAACTTCGACGTACTATGTTGGATGGGCTTTACACTCGCTGCCCTGGCGTGGAAACTGTGGAGTACCGCCGCAGCAACCCATCGGTATATGTGATACGTATCACCCATTCCCAAGTATGTTGAGTGGCTCAACTGTGTTCAGAGGTGAACCCTCTTTGCCGCCTGCCTCAAGTGATGTGGGTGTTTGTGTGTCCGTGTTTGGTATTGCAACTATGCCGAACCCTTGCTGCAATGGCCGGGAAGACTTGCAATGGGAGTGTGGTGCGCACTGCGTACTATGCAGCAGTACCAGCCGCAGCAAGTGGTGCAGGTTGGCATGCCATACACTGGAACTTTACACACGGCTTGTGTGTTGTTCAGCTCTCCAAAACACTCCATGTATTACAAACCGCAGAATACATGACCTGGAAAACGCCCACACACGTTTATGAAGCGTGCAACCAACACAATTCGAGCTGCTGCAAAATGGAAACCCCTGGCAACTTCGCCTTGACTTTGCCGTGGCTGGAAAGCAAGTACCTACGGGACAGAACGGACCAAAATTATGAATCCACGGATGTTTTGTCGCGGACCGGACGCCGCGCACGCCCTCCGCTAATTTAACGGCAAATAACGGTGAAGAAAAAGTGAGAGCCGGATTCTGCGGACGGCAGTACGGCAAACAGCGGACCGGATGTTACCGGACGAATATCACACTCACTTTTACGAACCGGA